CCCCCCCCCCCCTTCTCTCTTATCTTTAGCGGCTCTACTTGTGTCTAGATTTGTGTTGCAGGAGATTTTTCTAAATATAGTCATCACTCCTCCCCAATTATTCTTCACATTTGTTGGAATTGCCTTATTTCGAATCATTTCTTATACAACGTCTCGTTCTTGTCGAGAATTCCTGGTATTGCACAAGCTTCCTTGCTTTATTCATCCCTCAAAAAGTGGTTCAAACCTTTGGCCAATTCGTGTTAGCCTGACATGAATTGACTAGCATTTATTTGTAAACTCAAGAAGGTGAACTACCCAGTTTTTCGGTCTCTCTTCAGCACACTTCTTTCGAGGGTGAGCTTTCCAAATCCTACTTCATAGGAGACGTTGATAACAATAGGTTTTCTTGTGGCAATCATTTAGTTCGTGGGAAAAACTGACGGAATATAAGTAAGAGTCTTGCAATAGGTAAAATATGTCTGAAATATATTCAGTATCTGTCCACGGCTTGCCCTCATCTTGTTAAACACTTTGAATAACTCAAATTCACAGGCAAATCATTTAGTTTCTGATACTCAATTTCCAAGGCATAAAAAGAAAACTTGTGCATTGATTGCATTATCTACCAAATTCGGGAACTGCGGAGGTGATTGAGCTGCCCAGAAATAATTCCCCCCTTTCTGAAGCCTCTCAAAAGATGTGATTTTTTTAGGATAACCTCGTTCAGATGGAAGGAAAAGTATCGAGTTGCTTTGAATTCCCACAGTTGGTTTTGTGCTTGAAATCTCTTCTGACAAGACTTGAACCTAAAAATAAAAGAACTTTACATACTCAGATGGTGTGGATTTTATAATTGAAGGTTTCATACATCACCAGAGCTAAACACTCTAAAGAAAGGAGTGTAATAAAACGCAATTTAATTTAAAGTGGACAGGCGCCAGAACCCACTCTTTTATTCCAGAATATGGAACCATCCCAAAGAATTCATGCACAAAATGACATCAGCCGCTTGAATTGCTTCAAATGTCAGCTATCATCGCCCATCCGATGTGATCTTCAAAGACCTTGTGACCACAGTCCAACCAGTGAAGGGGCTAAAAATTGTTTGAGTATGAGCCTGGCTGTATAGATTGTTCTTACTACCTTGACAAACTGGTGAAGGTTCTGGGGATTCTCAAATGTTGTGTAAATCTCTGGGGTTTCATGAGCGCCATTAAGCCTTTCATGTGTCACTGAACTTGGAAACCCTCACACTCGTTGTTGAGGCGACCTCAAAGCTTGCTCTATGGGAACACTTTAGGCATATTTGGCGTTCAGTCCTGGAATCAGTATTCATCTAGTGGCAAGAGACGCATGTCCCATGGCTAAGAACATGTATCCTAGGCAATCTCTCATCAATAAAAATTTCTTACATAGCGTTTTCCAGATATTTTACCATTCTTTAGTATTTCTGGCCTGTAAGCAAATTCATGTAAGCCTGCAAGGTCTTACAGTCAGACCAAACCTATTTTTAAAGAGCGAAATGTTGTATATTAATCTTCGCATCCTTGGTATGTAGCATATCTTCGTATATCCCGGATGGGTTCTGTTAGGTTCATCTGGTTAAAGGAACACAACTATCAACTAGTATATGAAAGACCATAAACCACAGGCCTCTCTCTTTTATTTTTGCTCTTCCTTTTTTGGTGGATCCGTCTGATTAAACGAACAAAGCTATAGAGTAATATATAAAAAACTTTCGAACAGCTCCTTAATACGTACCTTTTGTCGAAACTCGGCCCGTCCTGTTTCATTAATCATGCCCTGGACGGTCCTCTTGACACGCATGTATTCACAATATGTATATCACATGATTGATTCCTAGGATAAGTCTTCTTTAGTAGACGCTTCAATTCAGATGATTGAAGAAGGTTCAAGAAGCCTCCTGTGACTCGAGTGTATAGCTTGAAACTCCTGGTGACGAACCAGTTCTAAATCATTAGGCGGTCGAAGCCAAAATGTTATTCCAACTCATGGGTTCGGCAACATTGAGCTTTATTCACCAGTATTTGCATGTTACAGTTGTTGTAGAGATGGTTGGAAAAAGCCTCCGGGGCTTCTACGGAACTCTTAAGTGCAAACTGGCACTGGAAAACTGTAAGTTCAATTCATCAATTCAACAGCTCTAGTTTCTTCACTTTCCCTTCCCAGAGTTCTAAGGTTCCGTAGCAGTCTATGTATAGTACATGAAAATTTGCTATCTGCACAGATTGTTGTACTTCCAGGATTTCTATCCTGGAAAGAGTTTAGAAACTTTTTCTGTGGAAGTCTTTGTTTTGATATCTTTCAGCGTCGCCTTCAACTTTTCCGCGGTCCTTATTGCGTCAGTTCTGTGAACGACCATAGGTTCTCAAATCCTTTAGGTGAATACCTTCGTTTTCTGTTGTTAGCCGAGAACTCTGTTTTGTGCGGGTTGTTTAGGGAACACGTTTGAATGTTTCAATCATGCTTGGCGCTTGTCAATTCATCATGCAAGAGGAACACATACCTAATTGCGTTTGCCAGTTTGGGTTCTTGATATGGCTGAGAAATCTTGCTATGCACTCATCTTCTGAAACCGTTTCAGGCTGAATCTCATTGAGTGTCCCGAGATTGAAGGTCGTGGCTATCTCCGATATCTCCAAGCTGGTCGGAATGTCTACAAGCTGAACATATACTTAACGTCTCCTTTTAGTATCAGGAGTAAAAAACCTTCCCTTAAATCAGTCAGTGTTCCATAATTTCCAAGTTCCCTGCGTTTTACTCATACTGTGCTAAATCTCGAGGGATTCCTTCTAAGCGGTCACTGTAGAAGCTAACCTTCTGGAGCTCCTCCTTCGACTTATTTTGAGTTGAAAGGTGACGCACCGCAGAACGAATGAAACTTCGAGCCACAACGCCTCCATCTTCAAGGCTCTCCCAGAACTTGGGGTAAAAAACTCATCAGTTTTGGCGGGATTTTTTAAATTGATGGAATTGTATATATTGGCTACTAGAGTGGTGTTCACCACAGGAAGATCATTGCCTCGGGCCTAGATTACGCAGTCAGAAGACAGTCATTGTCTTTGATACTCGATAGTCCTGCGTTAGTGGTGGGGTCTTACATATTTCAGTGACACTCTATAGTATGATGTTTCTTTAAAACCAAAACGAACCAATTCAATTCTGTTAAGTTCTTCAAAGAGTTGTGGGCCGGGCGTTTTTTTTTTTTTTTTTTTTGGTAGATTCATCTGATTAAAGGGGCAAAACTATATAACGAATATATATAAAAAACC